CGCCCAGGCCAGAGCTCAGGCCCCACCGCCAAGAACAACAACAACAAAAAACAGCTAAAAACAAAACCGAGCTGAACACAAAGTTCTCACTCCACACCCTGCACAGCCCCCAAGACAGGGACTGGCCCCTCCTCCCAGCCTACCTGGCCCCGCCCTGGGCTTCCCTGGCCCCTCCTCCCAGCCCACCTGGCCCCGCCCTGGGCTTCCCTAGCCCCTCCTCCCAGATCACCTGGCCCCCCTGGGCCTCCCTGGCCCCTCCTCCCAGCCCACCTGGCCCCGCCCTGGGCTTCCCTGGCCCCTCCTCCCAGCCCACCTGGCCCCGCCCTGGGCTTCCCTAGCCCCTCCTCCCAGATCACCTGGCCCCCCTGGGCCTCCCTGGCCCCTCCTCCCAGCCCACCTGGCCCCGCCCTGGGCTTCCCTGGCCCCTCCTCCCAGCCCACCTGGCCCCGCCCTGGGCTTCCCTGGCCCCTCCTCCCAGCCCACCTGGCCCCACCCTGGGCTTCCCTAGCCCCTCCTCCCAGCCCACCTGGCCCCGCCCTGGGCTTCCCTGGCCCCTCCTCCCAGCCCACCTGGCCCCGCCCTGGGCTTCCCTGGCCCCTCCTCCCAGCCCACCTGGCCCCACCCTGGGCTTCCCTAGCCCCTCCTCCCAGCCCACCTGGCCCCGTCCTGGGCTTCCCTGGCCCCTCCTCCCAGCCCACCTGGCCCCGCCCTGTGCTTCCCTGGCCCCTCCTCCCAGCCCACCTGGCCCCCCTGTGCTTCCCTGGCCCCTCCTCCCAGCCCACCTGGCCCCGCCCTGGGCTTCCCTGGCCCTGCCTCCCCAGTTTCTCCACCTCTGCCAGGGTTTTCGGGCTGTGTGGAGACCCACAGCCATGCAGCAGATGGACAGTGCACCCCGCAGCCCCTGTGCTTAGTGACTGGGTGTGATCAGGTCAGGTATCTGAGCAGTTCTGAGAAGCAGTTCTGCCATCACTGCACTAGAGCAAGGTGAGCCCTCCCTAAGATGAAGCATCAGAACCCTCAGGCCCTAGCGTGTCCAGTTCCTGACCCTGCCAGCCTGCAGAGATGCCGTGCCTCCCGAGTGCTGATGTCTTACACCTGTACTCCTAGCAATCTGGAAGGCTGAGGTTCAGAGACTCGCATGCAGGAGCTAGCTAGCCCGGGCGGAGGACCCATCACTGGGTGCAGTGACGTGTACCTAGCACCCCAGCTGAACGGGAAGCTGAGGTCAGGAGGACCCCGGTTCCAGGCCAGCCTTGACAGAAAAGTCTGGGAGAACCCATCTTAATGGAAGAAGCTGCTGTGTTGGCGCCCTGCCATCCAGAGACAGCAGGAAGCAGAGTAGGAAGGTCTTGGTCCAAGCATGCACCCAGCCAGGGAGCAAGACTTCATCTCAAAGAACAACCAGCACAAAAAGCATGGCCCAGCAGCAGAGTGTATGCCAAGCAAGCACGAGGCCCCGAGTTCAAATCCTAGGACCACCAGAAAGAACAATGGAATACAGTGTTCTGATGAAGGAATGTTTCCTGGGTGCAGGGTGTGGATCCTTGCTCCTGACTCCCCAGGTCCTTTACCCTTTGCTGCCCAGCCTCCATCCTGGCAGACTCCACCCTGGACTTCAGTGTGTGTGTGTGGGGGGGGGGTTGGACTTGCTGAGCCTGGTGTGATTTCTGGGGCACAAAGTCCACCCACACGCAGTCCCGTCTCCCTCCACCATTCCCAGCCTCCACCCAGGGCTAGCAGAGATGGTAGGGGCACACACCTCCACCATCCACAGACCACTGCCCAGGTCCTCCAAACCAGATACCAAAGGAATGAAAGGATGCTTTGGGGCCTAAAGCCCTGGACAATTCCAGTCTCTTCCTGAGGCCCCTACCAAATCCAAGAATGGAGCTGGAAGAGTGGCCTGTGCGGACCTCTGGCAGGCCTCCGGGCCTGGCACAGCCCCGGGATGGCGTGGCTCATCCCGCTGGCCCTCCCTGTGGCTCAAGCCCAAATGGGGAGCCTGGGAGAGACGCCTTGCAGGAAGCTCAGGATGAGCCGCCGATCAACCTTAGACACGAGGCTGAGGGCCCCCATGTGTACAAACCTCACACACGGCACACACAGCCCACACGCTTCCTCTCCCAGGGCGCGGCAGACCTGGAACCCCATGGGGCCCGCAGCCACGCTGGGCTAGGCTGGGCAGCAGTGCATGCTGGGAGGGAACCCGCCAGGAGCTGCACTGACCCGAGGAGACCAGGAGCCCCTGCTGCCCAGCCTGGGGAGGTCCCCAATTGTGTCTGCACAGAGGCAGCAGCAGTTCTGAAGGGGGCAGAGGGTGCTTAGCCTCACAGGGCACCGGGCAACCCTCACCTGACATGCCCGTTACCAGGAGCTCTGCCCCGCCCAGCCAGCCTGACTTAAAGCACACGATCACACCTGCCTAGCCACAGGAGGGTGAGAGAGGCAGGCAGCCCTGGACACTGACAGTTCCATGACGGCCACAGCAGAGCGGGACCTTATTTTAGGACAGCTGAAAAATGTGTTAGAAAAATGTGGTCATGACAGGCGCTGGTGGCTCACGCCTTCACCCTAGCTTCTCAGGAGGCTGAGATCTGAGGATCGCAGTTCAAAGCCAGCCCAGGCAGCAAGGCCAGTAAGACCTTTACCTCAAATTAACCACCGAAAAGCCACAAGCGGAAGCATGGCTCAAGTGGCAGAGCACCTGCCCTGAGTGAAGAAGCCAAGCAAGAGTGTGAGGTCCTGAGTTCAAGCCCAGTACTGGCATAAAAAAAAAATGTGGCCACCTTAGACAACAGACATGACTATGATCGATAGGGGTTCCCTGCCTGGCCAGAGCCCCTGCTGCGGGGCGCAGACCCCCCACAGGGCCCAGAGCCCCTGCTGCGGGGCGCAGACCCCCCACAGGGCCCAGAGCCCCTGCTGCGGGGTGCAGACCCCACACAGGGCCCAGAGCCACTGCTGCGGGGTGCAACCCCACACAGGGCCCAGAGCCACTGCTGCAGGGCGCAGACCCCACACAGGGCCCAGAGCCACTGCTGCGGGGTGCAGACCCCCCACAGGGCCCAGAGCCACTGCTGCGGGGCGCAACCCCCCACAGCCATGGCGACACAGCGTCCCTGCATCCACGCAGACAAGGGGTGCTGGGGTTCCTTGCTAGCTGATGGGCAGAGGACCCAGGGTGTGTGAGTGCTCCCGAGGGGACTCGCTCCCACGGCCACAGCCCGACGCGCAGCTTTTTATTAAACTCAATTTTAAAGTAATTAAAAAAATACATCACCAGGGCTGGGAAGAGGGACTAGCAGTAGAGCGCTTGCCTAGCAGGCATGAAGCCCTGGTTCCATTCCTCAGCACCACATACACAGAAAAAAGCCAGAAGTGGTGCTGTGGCTCAAGGGGTAGGGCACTAGCCTTGAGCCGACACGCTCAGGGACAGCGCCCAGGCCCTGAGTTCAAGCCCCAGGACTGGCCAATAAAAACAAAAACATACCAAAGCAGCAGCCAGCAATCTGGACATGCAGCCGCGGAGGCTCAACGTACTTCTGCTGCTTGAGGGGCACAGGTGAGGGACACTGTCCACAGCCCAGTGCCCCGGCCCCCGGCGCTGCACACTCGTGACAGCCCACCCCACGAGACAGACACAACACACTGAATTAAATGGAGCCGAGAAGAGGCGCCCGCTGGAGACTGGGCTCCCGCAGCCACCTGCTCCTTCCCGGGAGGCGGTCACCACCACTCCCTAACACTGCCCTCCCCTCCAGGACAGCAGGGCAAAGGTGGACCGCAGCTGGAGTGGGAGGGCCGCAGCGACACTGCCCCATCCTCGGTGTGAGCCACACCGTGGATGTGGACCACGGGGCGGCTCAGGACAGAGCGGGCAGGTCCAGCGGTTTGCGTCTACGTTCCTGATGTTACCACTCAACACAAAGCAGCAGAGACACCACGGGAGACACAGGCTAGTGCAGAAAGCAGCTGGCACAGGGGCTGGGAAGGTGGCTCAGTGGTAGAGTGCTTGCCTTGCATGCCTGAGGCCCTGGGTTCGATTTCTCAGCACCACATAAGCAAAAAGAAAAAAGCCGGAAGTGGCGCTGTGGCTCAAGTGGTAGAGCGCTAGCCTTGAGCTGAAGAGCTGAGGGACAGCGCCCAGGCCCAGAGTTCAAGCCCCATGACCGGACCAAAAAAAAAAGAGAAAGCAGCTGGCACAGGGCGGCCTCCCCAGAGTCTGGCTTGGGGTGCTGAGTGGCCGAACCTGGCCTCGCCGCACAGTCCAAGGGGCACAGGAGGGAGAGCCTGGCTCACAGCTGGCCTCGGGGCAGGGCTGCTGCTCCCTCTCCCCAGAGCCTGTGTCAGCAGAGGCTTGGTGAGAGAGGCCTTCCTGCCAGCAGACCCAGGCGCAAGGCCCCACCCTATGTCCTGGGACCCCTCCCCACAGGCTGAGGGCGCATCCATCTCTAGGCACCACGTTCATGTCTGTCTGTCTGCCTGCCTGCCTGCCTGCCTGCCCAACCAGGGCCCCGAGTGCTGCCCCAGCGTGCGCCTGGCAGTAGAGCTGCACTTCTAGCACGGTGCCAACACTAAGCTCGTGAGCTCGAGGACAGCGGTCTCAGGCGGCGCCCGGGGTCCCAGGCCCAACGCCTCGTGAGGCAAACAGGACACAGCCCAGACTGAGCCCCCCTCCCCAGCCCACAGCTCGGGGAGGCCGCAGTGGGGCCCAGGGCCCCCACCAAACAACACTGCTGTCCTAGGCCTGCCCTGCCATCCACTCTAGCTGCTCCACCCGTGTGGACCAGAGACCCGAACCGCACAGGCTGGCACACCCGAGAGCCTCCTTCGTGGCCACCGCGCCGGCAGCCACCAGAGCTGAGACACACGGCTGCGGAACCTCCCGGGGCCACCTCGAAGGCTGAAACAGGCTGTCAACATGGGCAAGCCAGACGCAAGGACAGATACATACCCCACACAAAAACGCCCGCCGATTGTCCTAAAGGATTTTCACTTACCAAAAGAATACCTGAAAAACAAAAGAAGAAAATTGCATTACAATTTTTTCTTGCTCTGACAAAACTTCTGAGTCAAACCATGGTGTCTCCCCACTAAGTAAGCACGGCCTGTCCCGTGAGCCCCGGGCTACCCGCCTGCCAGGCAAGGGGCACGGACCCCTGCCCCGAGTCCCCACCCCACAGGGCCTGTGCACGGCAGGCCCACCGGCCAGCAAGGAGATCCACGGGGATGAGCAGAACACACTTCCGGTGGGTGGGAACCAGGGTTGGATGGGCCTCCACTGCCAGACACCAGAAAAGGCATCTTACGTCACAGGAATTCGGTGGGCTCTGCCCCCATTTCCAGGCATGGGAGGCTCTTCTCCCCAGCACCCTGCCCACTGGGACCCCATCAGAATGATGCTGCTGGTGACCAGGTGGCTGTGCCGCTGTGACCCACGTCACTCCCTCCGGAGCACAGAACTCATGGCAGGAGGACCCCAACACCACCAGGAGCGCGCCTGCACGACCTCAGAGCAGCAGACTCCTCCCTCTGCCGGGCCAGACCTTGGAGCAGGTCCGGGGGACACACCCTGAACCAGCCAGGGGCGGGTCCGCTTCAGGAATGGCGCACGTGCCATCTCCACCACACGTCAGCACCTACTGGGCAAGGCTGACACAGGCCACACAAAATGTCCGCAGCAGGTAAACCCACAGACAGAGGCACCCCCTCCCCCATAACATCCATAAAAACTTTTTTTGGTCAGTTGTGGGGCTTGAACTCTGGGCCTGGGCGCTGTCCCTGTGACCTTCAGCTCAAGGCAAACACTCTACCGCTTGTGCCACAGCACCACTTCCTGTTTTTTGGTGATTATTTGGAAATAAGAGCCTCACGGACTTTCCTGCCCAGGCTGACTTTGAACCGTGATCCTCAGATCTCAGCCTCCTGAGTAACTAGGATTATAGTTGTGAGACACTGATGCCCAGCTCCATAAAACTTTTTAACAGCCTGACTAACATTGGAAATACTGCTGCTCAATCAATTCTCCCAATAAATAACCTTCCTGAACAGAGACAGGAAAAGAGGCTGATGCTTCAAACCCATTAAGAGTAGGAAAGGGTTGATTTTGGTTGTTGTTTGCTTTTTATTTTTTTGTAAGTGCCAGTACTGGACTTGAACTCAGGGACTTGAGCTCTTGCTTAGCTTTTTCATTCAAGGCTGATGCTCTACAACTTGAGATAGAATTCCATTTCCAGCTTTTTGCTGGTTAACTGGTGATAGGAGTCTCACAGATCTTTCTGCCTGGGCTGGCTTCAAACCAAAATCCTTAGATCTCAGCCTCCTGGCTAATTAAAATTACAGGCATGAACCACCAGAACCCAGCTAGCTTTCATAGCTTTTTTTCCCCCCAGCTGAAATTTACTTTAGGAGACGCTGAGGTTCCTGGAGGTACTCTAGGAATCTTCCGTTCTGTCCTTTATGGAAAGCCACGGCCTTGCCTGTCCTGAGGGGTCTGTCTCCGCACTGCACCTGTGAGGCCGCTCACCTGGCCAGCAGGCGTCCTGCTCAGTCCTGGACCTCAAGTCTGCAGTCCTAGCCTCCACCCCCTCCCCCAGCTCCCCCTGCCCCTACCCAGCTTTCCTCCAGTGCCCCACTGCTGGGAACGTAGTCCACACCACAAATCACAACACAGGAAACTGTGAGCTAAAGCAGTAGGTGAAAATCCACAAGGGAGTTGAGGCGCAGCTCAGCTGGAAGAGCATCAGCCAAGGAGCAAGAGCGTCAGACAGCAAGGTCAAGTCCCCATCTCGGACGCAAAAGAAAGTCCCGATGGGGCTGGGAAGGTGGCTCAGTGGTAGAGCGCTTGCCTTGCATGCTTGAGGCCCTGGGTTCGATTCCTCAGCACCACATAAGCAAAAAGAAAAAAGCCGGAAGTGGCACTGTGGCTCAAGTGGTAGAGCGCTCGCCTTGAGCTGAAGAGCTGAGGGACAGCGTCCAGGCCCAGAGTTCAGGCCCCATGACTGGACCCAAAAAAAAAAAAAAAAAAAGAAAGTCCCGAACCTGCAAGTAAGACAGCGGCAGTGGTGAGCACACACGTGGTAGGCCTGGGGTCTGTCCCGCTCAGCCCACGCTGCCAAGCCCGCACGGGAGCATCAGCACGCAGCGGGTGCTCACAGCTGAGGCCCGCACGGAAGCATCAGCACGCAGCGGGTGCTCACAGCTGAGGCCTGCACAGGAGCATCAGCACACAGCGGGTGCTCACAGCTGAGGCCCGCACAGGAGCATCAGCACACAGCGGGTGTTCACAGCTGAGGCCCGCACGGGAGCATCAGCACGCAGCGGGTGCCCACAGCTGAGGCCCGCACGGGAGCATCAGCATGCAGCGGGTGCCCACACTGCCAAGCCCGCACGGGAGCATCAGCACGCAGCGGGTGCTCACAGCTGAGGCCTGCACGGGAGCATCAGCACGCAGCGGGTGCCCACAGCTGAGGCCCAGTAAGGAAAAGGGCGGACACCCATTTCAAACGTTTGCTATAGAAGACAGAAAATGTGCTTAAGATGAAAGTGAAGAATAGAGAAAACAAAACATTGTGTGTAGCAGGAGCCTGTTTCTGCTCTGGGATGGGGCGGGCTGCAGAGTGAGCAGGGCTTGGGAGTGGCCCTGAAGCTGAGCCCGCCCCCTGAGGCCGCCCGGCAGGAGGAGGCTGCTGCCCAGCGCTCCGCCAGGTGGCTCAGGAAGAGGAAGCGACCTTGGACAGCCCGGTGGAGGACGCCACAGGCCTGCCTGTGCCCTTTGAAGAGGATCCACGCTCCCCATCTGGGAAGGAAGCGCAACGGCGGAAGGAGGACCCCAAGACACCCAGCTTGGCCCATGTTTCAAGAGATAATCTTCTCCTCCTGGGGGTGGAGGGGGCACGGGAAGTGGAGAGGAAGAGAGGCCTGCGCCTCTACTGAATGGCAGCAAAGAAACCCTTGGAGTTAGAGCCAAAGTAAAGCACAGATGAAAACAAAACACAGCCCCCTCAGCTTTTGAGCAGAGCTGGTGTCCACTGCCGGGCCGGGCCGGGCTGGGGCAGGAGCGGCGGCCATGTGGCCGCACCAGGGAAGCCAGGCCTACTCCAACTGCCATCTCCTCACAACCACTGGGAAGGTCATGCAACAGCAGCCAGCAAGCTCTGGCTCTGGCTTAAATGCTGTTGAGCCTAAATGTTAAATTCCTGGGTGAGACACCCAAAGTCCCTTAAGAAGTACGTAGCCAACCGCCCAATACACTGGACCAAGTCCCCTGGGCAGGGAGCGTGCGGGTCCCCATCCTCCGGGGCTGGCAGAAGCCCCTCCCTGACCTGCATGGAGGGGACGGGAGAGCCACCCAGAGGCCATGCCGACCATTTGGCCTCACCAGGCTTCCGACACCAACTCAATGGGAAAAGGCACATTCTCAGCACGCGCCACAGCAGGGAGATTGGTGGTACCACGCATCAGGGTCTTTCCCCCAGACCCACCTGGCCAATCACAAGAAAGGCCGTGGGGACAGCACCCCACAGAGCCAGGACAGCATCCATGCAACCAGGGTCTTAAAACCGAGGAAAGAGCCTGGAGAGACACAGGACTAGATGACCCCTGTGGCCCTGCATGGGGGCCACACCCAACTAGATGACCCCTGCAGTCCCACGTGGGGGCCATACACTACTAGAGAGCGCTGTGGTCCTGCATGGGGCTGTGGACCCAGGAAAGGACAGCAGGGGAAGGAAGGAAGTGTGACTCAAGTGTGGATGTCAGTTGCTAAGAAGTGCAGGGAGGGCTGGGAAGGTGGCTCAGTGGTAGAGCGCTTGCCTTGCATGCATGAGGCCCTGGCTTCGATTCCCCAGCACCACATAAGCAAAAAGAAAAAAAGCCGCAAGTGGTGTTGTGGCTCAAGTGGTAGAGCGCTAGCCTTGAGCTGAAGAGCTGAGGGACAGCGTCCAGGCCCAGAGTTCAGGCCCCACAACCGGACCCAAAAAAAAAAAAGAAATGTATTTCAATCTTTGCCGGGCGCTGGTGGCTCACGCCTGTAATCCTAGCTACTCTGGAGGCTGAGATCTGAGGATCGCGGTTCAAAGCCAGCCCAGGCAGTAGAGACCGTGAGACTCCTATCTCCAATAAACCACCACTGTAGCTCAAGTGGCAGAGTGCTGGCCTTGAGCTGAAGAGCTGAGGGACAGTGCCCAGGCCCAGAGTTCAAGCCCCACAACCGA